TCAAGTTCCAATCTAATGGAAAAATAGCCCGATCTATCGGTCGCGCGAGTAAATGTGCGCGCGCGCGCGCGCGCGCGCGCGCGGGCACCACGTCCACGCGTGTGTATGTGTGCCCCGATGGGGATGACATACACATCGAGAGAATGTATGGCGGACGCGCGCGGAGAGGCCAGATTGAAATAATACTTTTATGTTTAATCGCAATCGAGGAGCCTGCCCGGCGACGACGCGGAACCACCCGCCGATCTCCGAGATTAATCTATTGATAAACATTCCATCACTCTGCGAATACCATGTGAGAGAAATAGACGAACCATCGATAGAATATCTCGGCGTTTTATTCTTTTTACTTCTTCCACTTTTTTTTACTCTTCTTTTTGCCACCCATTTCCACGTTCGTCGTTCTGACCGCGTTGCTTTATGGACGATCGCTCGTCAAACGTACGTTTTTATTAGCTAAATCTTTTGCGACCGGCAAGTATAACTATGCGTCATAAAACTGTGGATTTTTTTAATAAAAATGCGAGTGCAATTCTTTTTGTTTTGAAGCACCAGCGCGATTAGGTGTGTCGGTCCCATCCGCGCCGGTTCCAATCGACATTGAGTCATGATCGCATCGTAATAATAAATTAATCATGGAAGAACGTTATCTCTCAAATTAGCAGAATCGTCATTTGATTTCCGTCGCGCCAATAGCAGCCTATTGCTCCATCGAGCGTTACATTGCATGTAAAGAAAACCATATGCAACGCCATAATCAAATTTTTTACGATCGATCACGTGAGACATCTCGGCGAATCAAAAGCACGGCTGTTGCCCGAGATGACTGCCTGTCGCCGGATTCTAATCGGCAACCGCCGAGACCCTTTCGCGCGGCTTTCGCTCGACAATAATCATAATAATTATGAAATCCGATCGAAATGCAATTGAGTCGCTGAAATGAGCCACCGAGGTAATGAGATCCGATCCATCTGGTCCGTTTGCGACTCCCCTTGAATCGTTTACCTTCAATCACTTTCTTGACAGATGCATTTACGGTCGGGACTGGTGGCCATCAAGCTGGAATGCGCCTTAAGGCTGGTTAGGGCGGTATCGATCCATCGGACGGTCAACGCCGGATTCAGCTACGTGAAATTTGCGTCTTCGGATTCGAGAGGGTCTGGATAGGGTCGCTGCTTCTGCGGCAAAGCCTGTAGATGGTTTAGCGGCTTCTATCGTGTGACCGACGAAATCTTCGGGACCACGAGTGGAGGAATATTCGTGACGATGCATCCGTCGGGCGTTTAACGGTTTCCGGTCTACAGATGTGTCCATGAGATACGCGAATATTTGCATATATATGCACATTACTGCGGTCCTCGCGAATGCAAAGGGTGCTCGATCCGTTTCGAATTCGCATTTCTCTAGCGTGATGTATATTCGTATTTTTAAATTTATATTTTGCATCGCGCATTTTTAAGATCATAGATCGAATTATTCCTCTCTCTGTCAATAATTTGGATATTTCATCTTGAGAGATTTAAGAAATTTCCAATCGAGAAAACACGGATGCGCGATTCTTTTTCTTAGCTTTTTCAGCCAACGATTTCGTTTGGTCACGCAGACGACCTCGTGCGTCTTTCGAAATCTATGCTTGCTCCTTTACATACTTGTACTTATTAGCGTCGTTGAATATCCATTATTCTGCCGAGAAAGAGAGATATTCTGCAATTAAGAGGGACGGCTAATGGCATTGAGGGGGTCGTTAAGAATACCGCGTTCAAAGATCTAATAATTTATGATCGTCCAACAGAAGTTCGAAGCGACTGTGGTGGAAACTCTATGCGAATGAGCTGTCCGCGATGAGATCGCGGATAAATTATTCCGTTGGTATAACACATTCGTGCGCATTCCCGCACATCGATCGATTTCGCAAAGTGCGCGAGATTTATTCTCGGCGTTTCCGATCCAGAGAATTGACAATGCTTTGACAACGGTCGCGGAGGAATTACGCGCGAAACCACGAGACGATGATCGATCGCGTTGGGAAATTCCTCCTTTTCGTCATGGCCACACATCTTGCATCTCGTGGAAGCACGGACGGCATTATTATCCCGCGTCCCGCAGCACCAGCGGGATATTTCTTTTTGCCGGGGGCGCGAATGAAACATTCTCCTTCTTTTGCGCGTAAATTGCACGGCTCCCTTCTCAGATGCGCGCCGGGCATTAAGTCCGTGCGTGGAGTCCGGCGTGGATCCCGACGTGTTTGCCGACGGGATAATAGTGTAATGGATGGACAGGGACAACGAGCTCTAAACGGATGAGACTGCCGTTTTCGAGACTCTAGCCGAGACGCGCTGTCGTCGCTAGCATTGCGGTTGTTCTCCTCTCCGTCGCTTAATTGTCATCATTGTCGAATTCTTCGTAGTGTCTAATTCTTTACGTTTAAGAATATCATGCGGCCTGCGTTCCGACAATTAAGATCGTGAAGCGATGGATCAACGCGGCCTGACTTAATCATATCATTATATCAATGAAGCGGCTTGTGCGTGACGCTAGGAATTTGCCATGTGGATCTGTTCGCCGCTTTCTCATTTTATCGTCATTGTGCATCTTACGGCATCTTTACATGAAATTACATTTACTCTTGTTTTACTTTTCAAACTGAAAGATAATCTTCAAGAGAGTATATCGTCGATAAATGAGTTAATTGTCCCAAAGAAAAGTAGACACATTTGACGATTAATAATCCCGGGAGGCTTGTTTGCTGAAGTTTCCCTACTGGCTAGTCCGATGTGCAAGCATCGACAAAACTGATAACCGAAGCGGGTACATATAAGCTACGTGCAAATATTTTCCTCTTTACGATCGCGCAGTTGGAGAAGTCAGGATTTCCTTGTAATACTTTACCGTTTCGTTCTAACGAAACTTACACAATTTTCGTACTATTGTTATAACTTTATTATATGAAAGTAATTAACAATCGATTTATTAATTTCATTAATAAGCTTTTGCTCAGTTTGTGTGCAATATATTAATTATATATTGCACAATATGTGTACAATATATAATTAAAAAGTCTTTTCTAATTTTTATGTAAACTTCATGTCTATTATTCTGCACGAGTAAAATTTAGGTTACAAGTATCGATAAACGTAGATAAAGTTAGTAATAGCTCATTAAAGATCATTTGCCATTTGCTAAGCATTTTAATATATACTGAAAATTATTGATTGAATATATTAGATCACAAAGCGAGTAAACGATAATTATATTATTTTGTAATTGAAAACGTAAAAGTTCTTATATAACGCTTTAAAAAAATTAGGCGATTCTTTCTAGCAATTAAGTAAAGCGATAGACACATTGTAAGAAATTTTGAGATTTTTATTTCTTTGATTTATCTACGGTTCTTATTACTGTCTTTCTAACAACTTTTGATGAACAAAAAACAAGTTATATTACATTAACGAGCAGGCTAAATGACGAAGGCTAGATGATGATCTTGACTTGCTGTCATTTACATGTATATGTGTTAATTATATTTTTACTTTTGCTAGTTTGCAATTATCTTAATATAATGTTACCCGTTTAACTACTATTTTAACTATGAAATATATCATTCAGGATTGCGCAATGAGTAACCAGACTAACGACTTTCTTTTCGGATAATTACTTGGATATGCCGCCGCACTTTGGTCATGACAAGAGTCTACTTTATACACTGCATAAATTGTGTATTATATAATTCAATTGATTTATGGAGGTTCTAGAAAATTTTGTTTCTCAGATACTTAATAAATATTGCGTCATCTCGTGATGTAAAACCATATATAAAATCTCTATTAATTTAGTATGTGACTTTTAATCTATTACAAAATCAAATTTTCTAAACAAAAATCGCTACGATTTACACGTGTCAACGAGATGACGTATCAACCGCATCATTCTCGTGGAAGTCATTCGAATACGCTTTATTTTGTATATTAATCTTATACAGGCTAGAGAGAGACCATTGGCCGATTTAGGTTGAGATGCGGCGTGGCGGCTACTTAATCGTACAATTGGTTGTCATTGACACACAAAACCGTTAGTAACAAGTGTGACGATCGTCTCGACCGTCGTACGCCTTAACGCTGCCATAGTAGTGCCTCGATTTCAGCCGAAGCACGAATCGAGCAATCGATTAAGATTACTAACCGACGTTCATAAATAGCTCGTCCGAATCTTACAGTAATTAACTACATTTGCTACATCAAGCTAAAATATACATATTACGACAAAATGACTGTGCGCATATTTTGCAATAGTAATCATTGGTGCTTGTCATGCAATGTGTCGCGATTTCCGCCGGGCATCGCCGGGCGTAATCGCACGAAAAAATGAATAAAACTGATCGAAAATGAACAACCGAAAGCAGTTAGCCGATTTCCAACATCAATAATCGATGAAAGGGATTCCCGTGCTTACCTCGCTCTTGAGATTCAATGGCACATCGCAGGGGGCGTCCAGCTCTGCCTCCGCTTTCACCTGATGAGACAGCATGTGGCTATGCCGGGGCGGTACGGCGGTCGCCAGCATGTTGGAATGCTGCAGATGCTGAAGACGAGGCTGGAGATGGGACTGGTGGTGATAAGGCGGCGACAATTGGGTGTTCAGAGTGCGAAGATCAGCTGGCGGGGAAGCGGGCGCAGCGGTACTGCTCTGTTCCTCCTCGGCCGAACCCTCCGCCATGTCAGCCTTGCATCCCGGGGACTCGTAATCTGCAAATCGACCAAAACTCTCGGAGGACCGTTCTAATAGCAGGCGCGCCGCCGCGCAAAGCCCCTAGTACGACGCAATCCCATTATAGCGCGAATATAATTCTCGCGTTTCAATTCAGTAGCGGGCGAAACGCTCGTCGTCGCGCTAATATAATGATCTCACATTCTCGAATCGACGTCATTTTATAAATCTAAGTAGCTCAGAGAGCACGTTAAGGAAACACGTACGCGCAATTTCGATCGTGGATCTAGAGCAGCTGAATAATTATATGCGTTTCCGATGAATGCAGTGACTCTTAACTAATGACTAGAGAAGAAACGGAGCCATATGTGATGTTTTTCGTTCAACAAAAAACGAACAAGATTTAATTCGTGAAAGATGAAAGGCTTTCTCAAACAATTGACTATTAACTCGAATTGTTTTCGGTTTTTCATGAATCGAGAAGGGGAAAAGGCGACGACACTCGCGAGATGCTAATTAAACCGGCACGTCGTGACGCGCGGAACCGCATCAGCCGTATCGAACGGCAGCGCGTGCAGCTGTTAAGAATGTAGACACTGGAAATTAGGAGGAGGCCCGTTCATCTTCCAACTTCAAAGCAAAAACGTTTGGTTGGCGCATCGCATCGGATGAGAGAGTGAAGAGAGCGCGCGTTGCTACGCGAGAGGAGGCGCCGAGGGAGAGGTTCCAGAATAAAATCGCCGCGACTAACTCGCCCGCAGGCACATCCCCCTTCCTCCCTCCCCCGCCCGTTTATCCGCCTAATTATTTTTATCTAAGCGTTCAGTTAGTAAGAATTCAAGGGCAATGAAATCACTACCGTCTGGACACGCTGTTCCCTCGTCGCCTTTTGCCCCCGTCTCTCCTTCTTCCACCACCACCTCCGCCATCGCCGCCGCCTGCCTCGTCGCGCGGCGGCGGCGGCGGCGGCCGTCGTATACTTGGTGAACGCAACTAATAACATCTGCTTCTATTTTTGCGCTGGCCCGAGTCCAGCGCTTTACTTTTTAAAAGCCGCGCGCCTATGACGAACGGCTGGATGGATCATCGAGCGGAAGCCCGGGCGTGGGGGGCCGAGAGTGAAACGAGCCGGTTATTCTGGACAAATTATTGTCAAAGGGCGAGAAAACACCTTCTGCCTGCGAGCTACTTTGTTCCTCATAAAAGGCGTTTTATAATGGCCATCGTAAAAATATTTGATGCCGTGCTTTAAAACGGCGGCATGTTTATAATAAAAGCGTTAGGTTGTTGGGCACCAAATAGACCGCTCACAAGTGCAAACTCTGGTGTTAATGTCACCCGTTTCCTATAAATATGAGTGTCCTGATGTGACCGCGTCGCGTGGTGTCCGTTGCGACAATTGCGAAAGTTTCTCAAGATGCCGAGATGATTGAGCGAGATCGAGAGAAACACGCGTCGTTTTCTGACGAGGCCGCAGACTGCCGCCGATTGCTATGGCTTTGAACTTAAAGTGATTTATACCATACCTCACGGACGGAGAAGTGAGAAAAATGAACGAGATTTATCTTTACGCCCGCTCGATATTGTCCACCTGTTTTCGCATTATTTTTGCACTTTCAAATCATTGAACAAGCGCAGTTATTTTAAACATTTAAAAATTCAAAATACAAATATTGTGAACAAAGTAACTTTTTGACAATATTTTTTCAGACAAAAATAAAGTAAGATAAAAAAACTTAACTGTAAGAAAATGAAGTCTTTTCAATTAAAGTTTTCGGATTTTTTCCTCCTAAATTTTTTAATACCAAATTATATAAAGATTAAATTAATATTAATTTTTCAATATATTCAATTAGATGATTATCGATACATATTTTAATATAAAATTATTTTTTAATATATCATAACAATTAACAATGGCTGTATAGGTAATATTCTGGAAAGACAAAATTATTATATTCTAACAAGCATTTGTCTCGAATCAATTAAAATGATAAAATAATTTAACTATCTAATTAGTATCGACCACAGTTAGACGCGAAGAGATCGCATCGATCATCGTTACAAGGAATTAATTTACGCAACGTGCAACAAGAGGAGCTTTATTGCTAATTAAGCTGATTAATAAGCATTATTCGATTTTTATGCAATAGGAGCAACTGCCGATGAATGAGTTGAAGGTGAATTCTCATTGATGCTTGTCTCGAAAGACGAAATTGTCATGCGGTAATTCCTCAGGTATAATATATCCCAACGAGAAAGCTAATATTACGCGAACGCATCGGAATTAATTACATTCGGAGATCTTTGATTCTGACAATAAAGTAAAATCCTCCTTCTCTTCTGTACGTGTATTAAAAAAAAATTCCCCAAGTCCCATAGTGTTTAATCTTTGAGCATTTTTTTCTGTAAGAACGCGCCACCAAAGCAGGACTATATGCAACCTATCTTTTTTCCGTTTGCAGTCATTAATTTCCGTTCATATTAATCGCTGTAGGGCTGCGCCCGTGAAATTACTAGACGCTTTAACCACCGGCTGTCCAAACCGAATTCGTCCGCAGCGATTATTATATCGCGTCCTGAGGTCTAATGCCGGGTATTCCGAAAGCTAGCCAATTAGTATCGTCGATTTGGATGCTTTAATGAGAGTGCGGTTTCATTAGCGTATCGCATCGCCCTCACGGTTCGTGATTCGTGAAATAGAAGAGGAATTCTTAACCGAACGAAGATATCGCGAGTGATTATAGCGCGATCGTTCAAACGTCACCATAGCCGACCGTTTGAAAATTGGTACCTTCGTCGTGCGACCTTGAAAAATGCGTTCCTCCACGATCGAGATCACATAAATCTTTTCTGAAAAAGGAAGGGGATTATCCGCAGGGTTTCTTCTACAAAATATTCGACATAGAAATTAAATCGGGCATTCCACATACGGCAATATTTTACACGCTTCGTCCAAACTGCTCTACTCAAAATTTTAGATTTGCGATTCCATGCGAGTCTTTCGCGGGGCGAAACAAAATAAATCTCTCCTCTCACATCGTATCGCCAATCACCATTCTAACCGCGACTTCTCCGGCAGTAATCACTCGCTGAATAAATGGTGAAAATCCATGTAATAGGACCGATTAATACGCCAAGACGATTGATATGAGAATCACTCGAGGAATTCCGAAGGCAATTAAAACGGGCGAGTTACGCATGATGCTGTCATCCGATCAGAGATGCGACGCGACGCGACGCGATGCGACGTGATGCGTTCATTCCTACCATATGAGGAGACGTTCTCGAGGATTGAAAGTCATCCACCCTCGGGAGGGTTGCCTACGGGCGACATCGTTTCCTGATTTTGTCGTGGCCCACTTACATGCCTCTCTCTCGCTTTTTCTCACGTTAGTCAGATCACGTCTTCCTTCTGCGACCTGATCTTAGCCCGCGGCATGCATCGCCATTTCGCATTATAGTTCTATAACCGACATCGTCGACATCGTCGACAACGACGACGACGACGACGACGACGACGACGACGACGACGACAACAACGACGACGTCGACGTGGAGGCAGCGTCAGCGGCAGCGTGCAATTAAGGGGTTGATTGATGTTAATTCAAAGGGTAATTAAGAATGTTGCGCATAAAAATCCGGTAATTTATGGTCATTGAGGATAATTATATGTTGACCAGCTTGTAATTGCAAGCGCTTCGTGGTATAGCGCGCCGTATACGCGTCCAGGGTTCGCGGGTAGCTACCTAGTGCGCGATGGGAATGTATGCGTGTATGCGGATTTCTTGGAGCGTGTGCAGGAGGGGATATACGGTCTCAGATCGCAGCTTATTATAGGGGCCAGTAGATAAGGTGGGTTTAGAAACAACCGGGCGCCTCTGGCCAGCAGTTTCTACGTAGCCGCCGACATTCTCCTCTTGATACGAAGCCGCTTCGGGCTACGAAGGTGTATATAAACCATCTAAGCTCCGAGGCTCCGAGGCGGTCGCGATTTACGAGATCGATTCCCAACCGCCGAGACAGCGGTTTTAGAAATGCCTAGGCCCGGTCCAATTCGCGCGCGGCGCGATGCGACGCGTACCACAAATCGCGATGCTGCGTGTCTGGGGTGCGCTCGGCGTGCGGTGCTCAAGTCGTCGCTATAAATAATCCGCTGGATGCGGATAATCGCCATATGGCCACGCATGCAGCAAACCACTGACCGTTTCTTCGTAGCACTAACGATGATCGCTTTCGATTTCCTGGTACGAGTCTATTCCTCGAGAGCTTTTCGCTCGATCTGCGAATTGCGCGTCGGCATTTCTCGAAACAGTGACGAAGATAACTTTTGAATCGCGTCTGTTTAATCAAATTTGGTTATTCCCACAATCGTAATTTCAATGAAACAACCAATAGACCGACAAATGAAATTTATTAAATAGAAAAAAAAAAGAAGCCGAAAGGAATCTTCGATTTGCGTTCATTTCCTACAGTTGGGAGGGTGAATAACGCGGTAAAAGAGCGTGCGGCTGGGCAACCCTCCTAGTTAAAACATCGCCAATAAAACGATCCCAGCGGGACCAGTTGGCAACCGCCCATCGTGACATTGTCCTTGCCGAGTCTTTTTTTTTCACGATCCCGTAATCGACCGGGCGTCCTAATGGCGAAGTATAATCGCGGGCTTGTGGCGTCTAACCGAGTATTAACGCTGAAGAAAAGTAAGAAAGAAACTCACGCGCGTACATGAACGTGCTCATGTACGGTCGATTCGGATTATCCGATGGATACTCGCGCCAGTTTGCTACGATCGGGCAGTAAATGCAATATAATAAGCGTACGATAGATTAAACCGCTTCGTGCTACCCTCCTGTACGGCAGTTTCGCTTCACCGGCACGAGCGAGCATAATTAAGGCGAAGGTATAAAGAATCTCGGCCGCATCCGTGTTGGTTAATTCGCATCGACCTTTAACTCGCGTACGTACATAGGCATATCGGCTAAGGTAATGGCCGTTTCGTGCGATACCATTCTGTCAGAAATCCGAGGGGCTTTGTCCCGAGTCACGAAACGCAAGGATTAAACTGAACAGTGCGCCGTTAATGCGACTGTGCGAACGCCTCGTTGAGATTGACGCCCCGGTTTCAGTGTATGCGTGCCGTAAGAGCGTGTGCGTGAGAGCGCGTAACGCGCGCATCGCCGGCCGCGAGAGTGCCCATAAATCGGCGCCGAAGGGGTTCGGCATCAGCACGCGCATTATCCAAGACGCGATATTTTACGCCCTCGTCGGAATTCTGCTGTTACAAACATTTTGCATTATTCCGGTGGAATTCTTTTTCGAGCCGGTAATCGAAGCGAAAGCTAATCCCGTACACAGAAATGAGTTCAGCGCACGAAAATAGAATTGTACGCGCGAAAAGATTCTGACAATGATGAACGTCTATTATTAATCCGTGTCACTTTAATTAAAAATGTGATTTTCCTGCTTCATTTAAGATACTCTTCATTATTCGACATCACGTTTTGCAAATATGATGAAACGTCACCTTTTTTTTTCCTCGAAGACTTGGCATCGTAGTACGAGAAAGAAGAGCCTAACGGCTCCGCGTGATCGTATCGTCTGAGAGAGAGGCGCAGGAAGAATATTTTATGCTTTATGGCGCCAGCGTCGTTGGGGTTTTGCCGGATAAAAAAAGTGTCAGCTCGCTGGCTAAATCAGAGCTCCGAGTGCATTAAACTCCGAATTACCACAAATAGAACTTTAACCGCACATGCCCATTATAATGGCACCCCCTGCTGAAGATGTATTTACGTACTGAAACGTCTTCTCGGTGGCTCACGCTGAGTCGTCGGAATTAACATCTGGCCCTAAAAACGTGCGGTTCATTGGACCCCTTTTCCTCATTCTTATAAGCTAACTGACTGTTCTATTAGAAAATGCTCTCGATTATTTGCAAGCAAATACACATTTTCGCTCTTAAAATTGTCTAGTTATTCCTAATTATTAAAAGAGACAAATCAATTATCAATGATGTTCTAATAATAAAATTATACAGTAAACTTCAAAGAGAGAAAAGAGAAAGTATTTGAATGAATAGTCACTTATGGGACCATCTAAAGCTTTCTTAAATCGTCGTCGTACTTATTTTCTTTGGTAAAAAGAAACATTGGTAGCGTGTTGGAGACAGAATGATTTTGAAAGTGGTTTTACATGTAAATTAGGTCTATTAAAATATCAGAATATAGTTTAGCCGACATTTAAAAACACGAGGGCTGAGGCAACAGTCTCTATCCGTCAAATCGGCGTAAGCCGCTCCGAGCTATTACGTGCGTGCGTGTTTCTTCATGAATTATTAGAATTAATGAGCTCGCGCACATTGCTTTCTTTCTACAGGCCAATCATAAATATGCCGGCGGGGAAATTTCGGAGTAACAAAGCAACATACTCTTTTTTATGCCGCAAAATTTGTTAAGTCAGTAATGTATTTTACGCAAGTACTATGATTCAATATGATATAGAATCAAGCTTTTACGGCTTTTTCTTCATCACCAATGAATAGTAGTAGTAGTAGTAATATTCGCGAAAATAAAGAGCTGGACTTTTCTTTTGTGGCATGCACAAAGAATCGACCCGAGAAAGGGCTAAAAGAAATTTTGTAGTGCACTTGCAATTTACACAAGCGGCAAATAACCGTTACCGTTATTAGACACAAAGCGTGTGAAATGATGGATAAACGTAACTCCTCATACTTAACACATCGAGTTTGCAACGAAACTTTCTTACCTCGAGTGATTTTCGAGCCGATAATCGATGAAGATTCTCAGACGGAAAACAGAATAGCGCGGCTGGAAGTGGGTAAAGTTGTAGAACGAAATGTTATCGTGCGCCGGATTGTCGGCAGGGGTTGAACCGAGTGAAGGGGAAGCCTTGAATGGGGAAGCCAACGAGAGCGGGAGTAAGAGTGGTGAGAATAAGAGGAAAGAGAGCAAAGGAAAAGAGAAAAAGAGAACAAAGGGGGTGATGAGACGAAAAGATATAAGAAGGGGATGCATCGATTCGTTTTCTTGACCTCGACAACAAATATAATGATCGCAGAAATTTTCATTTGTGATTCTTTCAAATTAACTTACAATAAAGATTTCTTGTGATACAGCAAAGAAAATATATGATCTTGATTTTTTCTCTACAATAATAAGTAATCTATATTAGTTTAATCGTGGTAATAAAATAATTATATTTTATTTTCTCAACTAATTTTTAATGTTCATTAAAGAAAAGTATTAATTAATTTTTTTTTACATAATGCCTAATATGTAGAAAGCTTAAAAGGAAGCTTTGCTGAAATTTGGCATTGTTCAGTCAAGACGAAACGCCTCGTGTTCTTTGTGTCGATTCCAAAGCGCCAAACTCCAACGATATCGCGAGTCAAGTGTTTCCTTTGGGATTTTCTGCTTTCAACTCTCTGCGTCTATTCCCACCGACAATGATTCGCTTGGCCAACCTCGACTATCTCGCTTCCATCTTCGGTGGGGTTAGAATTTACCGCTCTCCCTCTCTTCCGACTCTTCTAACCCTCTCTCTCACCTACCCTCCGAGGCGGCAAGCAAAGAACTCTCCTACCCTCGGGCAGCTCACACTGATTTTCCACCCTCGTCACCCTTCCCATCCACCACCATCACCCTCTCTTTCTCCACCTCTGCTTCTGCCTCCTCTCCACCCCCAGAGCTCACGCCGTCACTCGTAGTCACGCCACCAACACGTGCTCCTGTTTACCTCTCCGGTCATATGGTCGGGGAGATGACGCGATGCATTCAACAACATCACCGTATAATCACAAAAATATCTGCCAACATATATATCTCGCTCGTTCGAAAAAATTTACGCGGATCGAAAATGTTATATAAAACTATTTTAAAAGGAAGAAGTAAGAATAATATGAGGACAAAGATATATATATAAGTAATGAGGACACATGTAAAAACCCAATACTGCAATATCTTATTACTTATGAACCATTAATCAGATTCAGATTATTGGATTTTATTATAAGTTCTTTGGAAACTTCGATTATCTAATTTAGTACAAATGTTGTTATATTCAAACTGTGTCAATAAATAATATTTTTTTCATGCAAGTTAAAAAATAAACTCTTTCTTTAGTAACTGCTTCATCACGCAATAGATTTTCTTCGGTATATGTATCTTTCAAAATTAATAACTTTTTCCGCATAAAAATGTTATTATTTTTTACATAGATAAAGAAATAATAGATTTTTTCCAAATCTAAGAAAATTATTAATTAATTAAACAAATACTTTTTCGTCACATCTAAGAAAACTATTAATTAAACAAATATTTCCGAACGCTCTTTGCGTTCCTAAAATAAATTATTGTTATTCTTCAGTTATAAATTTAGTTTTTATTTTTAACATTGAAATAATTACATGCATTCAGAGTTAATGATAATATTATATCGGGTGTCTTAAAAATAGCTTGTGTTACATCACTGCTAATCAGGATAATTACTATGTGACTACTGTGATGTGTCTTATCTGATGTAACATCCACATGATGCTGTTTCTTCGCATCAGTACAAAAGACAATGAAGATTAAGAGAACTCTATACGACTGCATTACGTTTACGAGCTCAACCGATCCCTTAATTAGCATTTCCAGGTCATACAGTCCGCGTAGACTCAAGTATACGCAAACGCGCATAATTATCACGCTAATTATTAGTACGCAGCTAAATATCTGGATGAAATTATCACCAAGTTGAAGTGCAGCGCAGAGAACGAAACGCTGTTTTCAATCCCCTGCCAGCAGAATTCCCGCATGATCAAACTTTGGGAGAGGAACTTACTTAATTACCAAAATTAACTAAATGGTATCGAATCAACGATTACCGCTCACGAGGCACGCAAACGATGCCGCGTGAATATGCGCATGACAATGAAAACGGACAGATAAATCTCAAAATTGACTTCTCGTTCATTTTTTCTATTACTTTTAGCCTAAACATAATGAAGGTCCTTAACACTCGTTCGTAATTGATAATAAGTTTATACCAATGATAAATATCGAGCGTAAAAAGTTTTCTTTTTAGAAGATTGTAATCCAAGTGTTTTTTAATCGTATTCCAAAATTATGATATGAGATACGTGAAATGCAAAATTAATTAATTTCCATTCCGATGTCTGTTTCCGAGGCCGATCTTAACCCGCTTACACGCGTGTGCATGTAGTGCATGGCGCAGGCGCGTCCGTACACGCGGTTAATCGGTGTGCGAATGTGAGACTACACACGTGCAGCCGATCAGGGCGCGCATTTAGAAGACCCATCTAATTATCCAGATTAGCCTAGGCTTATAATAAGCAGGAGCGAACTCGCGTGCCTGACACTCACCTGAGGCGATCTGTGACTGATGTATTTGGGACGTCGTCCTGACGCGGATTTATTTAGCGGCTGTTATTTATCTCCACCGCCACGGTGCAATTCCGTCGCGGTTCCGTGCCGATCTTCGTAGATCAGCCGTCTGTCTTGCCTCTCTCGTTCCTCCTCCGATACCGTTTACACCCGGCAGACCCGTCTTAATTCCCTTCGGGAGATCCCCCTTCTACCGTCTCTCTTCACCTCGTTCGCGAATTTCACGATCTTTCGGTAATTTTCCTATAGCGAATATTAACAGACCGTTCTGAGAGCAGTGGTGGATCGACGTCGAGAAACGAACGATTCACTGATATATCAGCCGCCGGTGACATCAGCCTACTTAATTACAACGGATAATTGCGAGTAATTAGGAGTGATCAAGAAGCAAACAGTTAATTGTCCGCTACTTGATAAAACTCGATTGATCCCACGCCTTCGTCTCGTATCCGATGATCTTAAGATGATATTCGTTTAATTGAAAGAAATGCGGAAGACAATATTTTTTAACTGTTTTCTCGATGACACGAAGTGTTTTGAATGAAATGATATTTCGAAATGATAGTTCGACCCTTGATAGCTCCGACGCGTCACCGGACAGATAATCGACAGACAGCACACTTTTCCGCGTAATGTGCTTTTAATTATTCTATTTGTGCGCGTGAAACCATGCACTTCGTGATTGCTGCCCGTAACATATAATTTTCTGTTGAAAAACACTGACGTGTCCACCTGATGATCACTCGCGCGTCGTAATTATCAGCGCACCTGTCGCGATAATTAGAAGCTTATTAGAGCCGTAGTCCTTATCTCATCGCTTTCTTTTGTTTAAAGATAGCATGTATTTTACCCGAAATTTCGCGCGTCTACTCGGAGACGACAGATCGGTCCGAACACTCACGTCAATATCAAGTCTTTTAATCGCCGACTAATTAATATTATTTCACCTGTTCCGTGCACTTGTTGCAATATGACGTTTCCACGCATTTACTCCTAATTCACGTCGTAAATGCAAAGCAAAACAGAACGATCGTCGCGGCGGCCACCGGTGATTTGAAATAGCTGGTAATGGAGCGACTGGTAATGGGCGTAATTGCCAACAGAGTCAACTCCTCGACCAGTAATTCCCCAATCTCACGTTTCACTGGTCAACTGTCACAGAGTTCACTGCGCTTAACTGTCCCGCGAGGCGCACCAAAAGAAGTCCCACCCCTGTGACCACGTGCTGATAGGCTGGACAAGTCGGCGCACGCAGCTACAAGTTTAAACTCCCTGATCACTCTCCGGTCTATAAACACTCTAGATTTTCACCAACACGTCGCAAGCGATCTTTGCAAAGATAGTGTCGATCGCTTCGATCCTGTCTGGCTCCTCCTCCGATGATTAGCTCGAGTCTCCCGGCGATTCCAAGTCCAAAATTCTTCTGCGAACGACACTGCGAACGACGATCCAGATTCCGCAGGGGTTCAGTGTCTCGGAGAAAGCGGTCGATTCACTCCTCTTCGTGTGTTGTCCTTGCTCGGCAGCGTGGTCGTGCACGTTGCGCGATTGGAACTCGACGCGAAAACTCAGGACCTGAACCCTGACGGTCCGCAGTCTGGCTGCGTAGTGGCCCCGGCGTACAACCGAGGGAAGAACAGCCGCCGTGACGACTCTCCCGCCTGGTGGTTAGTCGCCGTAGAAGGGGTAATAGAGGCGGTACGATGGGCGGTACCGATGCGCGGAGGTGGTCCGCGAGTTACTCGCGAGATCCCGTTGTTATGATTGTTATGAGTGTCCGAGCTGCCTCCCGCGATGCACTTTGGGGGTGGTACGACCGCGAGAGGTACCTCTGTCCGTCTCTGTTTTTCCAGCATGTTCGCATCTCGCTCGCTCTGTAATATAACCACCACGAGCTCGAACGAGCTCGTAACCGTGATGCAAATCAGCCCGACGGGGCTGGTGAGTTCGCCGGCGGGGATGCCCGGGAGGAGCGATCGGCACCAGAGGACTGATACCAGACTCCCGCCGAGGGAGGAAAGAAGATGATCGGTATGTAGATAACAGTGTGATTTTAAGGACTAATCGGTGGAATCGATCAAGTCTCTGGATCAGTACAGTCTGCTGAACAATTGGAGGGTAAGAAAATCGTTGGAGAACGCTTTATCAGTAATATTGCAAGTTGTAAAAGAAAAATATATTAAGCAAGTTCATTTTTTTCTAAAAACTTATATTTTTATTATTGTTTGTAATAGATAATGTTTAACAATGAAAATGAAAAAAATCTCTATATGTAAACATTCACTAATCATAGTTTGTTAAGAAAACTTAATTCACAAGTTAATGTATTATTAAGTAGTAAGTTCAAAATATAACTTTGTCATAATCTATAATGTAATGTATGATATGATAAAGATATCAAATATTCTATAAAAATAAATGGACAAGACATTTTACTCTAAAAACAAATTAGTATAATGATTCCAATTAATTAATATCTATTCTTTAATGTCTTTATAAAATAAACTTTCTGCGTATATTCGAATATTAAAGAATATAAGAAAGAAAATGTGAATCATTTTGTATGATTATATTTTTCGCTTACTTAGTGACTTTACTGTCTATTTTGAGTAAAGATACGTCAATTTTAATTAAAACTACATTGATCATAGCCAAATATATCTATTCTCTTTTTTTATCTTTCTTCTCTTCTTAAAATATCAACCATGATGGACACATAATAATATCAATGCGATAATAAGTACATCTTTTTTATAATATTTTATAAATTTAGATCTATTATTGTAAATTAATATAATCCCAATAAAGATGGTCGTTTTAATCATTACTTAGAATAAATGGAGATATTCATCGAATTGTACAACAAAAATCTAATCTACGATAGGAAATCCGTGCATCACAGAAATGGCAGTCCATTTCTACATTAATTCACGTCACGTAATTACGCAATTTGGATTACTTTATACCAGCCGAGTAACTCTATTGATATCATTAGATTCACTCGGATATTAACTTTTATGGACGATTACAAGTGCGTTGGAACACGACGTTCTCGTGCATTCAACCCTCCGACAACATGCCCGAAAGGGCACCACGAGTCATGAAGTTTTAATGACGCTTTAATGATTTAATATAAAATTTTTGCATTAAATGCATTGTTTGTACTAAAATTTACGAAATATCCGAAATGCATAAAGAATTTAATTTAATTTGCTTAAGAATTTGCTTAAAAAATTATATATCTTTTATAGAAATAATTTGCAAAATAATAACAATATTTTAATAATATTTTGGCAGCGATAATATTTTAATATTAGACTATTATATTATCTTTTTAGAAACTACCAAAATAATTCTTTAAGGAAATATCCTTTAAGAATTGTTATAAACTTATTATTATAATATATTTAAGAGATTAATATTTTTAGTGAGGTGTTCAAGATTCAAGATTAGAATCATAATTTCTAATTATTCGTTTTGTCCGATTCATTTTATGCGATTTCGATATCGAATGTTATAAATTCTAGTTCCGTTCTTAATTCCAAATCAGAGCGAAATCACTTGACATGATTCGATTACAAATCCATTCCAACGCGTACAAAACTGTAGGCGTACGAAGTTACACGCTGCGCGAACTGGAAGGGTGCGTTTATTAAGATAGGATTTTACCCCTTTCCTGCCTACGTGCCGCCCTCGTCGACGCCACTGACACCGTCCGCACCCTCGGTGTTTTAATGCTCTCCCCTCAATTTCTCTGACGTCGACCCCGATCATATTCCGACATGATTCGATCCTTAGACACGATTCTGACCCGATGGCCAGTTCGGTTTAAACATCGATTTATTTTTTCTTAAAATTTCTTTCGTAATATTTTTAATACTTTTAATAAACTTTGTATTAATATATCTATTTTTAAATTGATTTTTTCTGTATTAATTATAAAATCTGTAGAATTAGTAATTATATTCTAAACAATCTAATAGCAAATTTTTCATTCGTATTTGTTATTTGTTTAGTCTATTGCACAATCCGCTAAAATAAAAACTTAATTAAACTGCATATCATGGTATGACAAAGAGATGGGATTAGTTTTAAAATTTAAATATTGTCCAAATAAATAATGCGAGTTATATTCTTTTATAACTAATTCTAGGAACGATCATATTTGTTAGTTTTAATGAAATCATTATAAGATTAATGACGATAGATATAATATTTGAATCACTGCCACGAGATATTTTAAAATTAAGCGCAGATAAATGCTGGACTTAAAATAAATGTATAGATTTAACATAGAGAGATAAATATAATGTCAAGTGTTTAAAATTTTAAATCCATAATCTTATTTAATCCTCCTTTATTCAGCTTCATTTCAAGGAGCACATCACTGAAAGAATATTATAAGAAACGATTAATATATAGAGATATAGAGCTACTCCTGCTTATTGCAGGATCATCAATGAAACTCAACGTGTATCGCGTCGGTCATCCTTTTTTTCCTCAACGAGCGTGTACGTCGAGCATCGACGTAGAAGAAGGGAAAGTCTCTTACACGAAATATACGAGGAAATGAATGAATACGGCCGTCCTTCTTCCACTCGAAGGTCCACGTGCTTTTCACATATAACTCGTCCCCGCGGAGGCAGGAGTGTAGCCAGCTGGTGGTTGAAGTTGTAGGAGTCGGCAGGATGTGGGTCTCTACTCTCTCGCCCTGTTCCTTCTATCCCGCTTTCCCGCTTTCCCGCAGACGTGCCTCTCGCTCGTGCCGTATCAGCGACACTCGTCCCACTTCCTGCAAACATGTCTATCCTTGTCCCGCCTTCCGGCGGTCTCCCTCGCTCTTCTTCCACACGCCGCCGACTCATCCCCCGGACTACTGGGGTGCTTCGTCTTTCTCCCCCGTCCCACCGGATCGATTAAAACTACAAAGTGTTGCCTCTCCATCCGTTGGTACGCTCATTCGTGGTCGACTACATTGCTCTGGCACTCTCCTGGCGGCACTGGGTTACCAACTCTTTCCCGGCTCTCTTTCTCTCTTCCTCCCTCTTCCTTTCTCTCTTTGTTCCTCCACTCGCGTGCTGTTCCGTCTTTTTCCTTTCAGCTCTACCGCCGTCGCCTCTTTTTTCGTCCTTTTATCGGAGGATCTCCGTATTCATGGGCGTTCGCTTCGCTTCCTGATAATCCCCGCGTAAAACTTCTCTGTCCCGTCGGGATTGCCCTCGCGCGCACTACCTTTTCCCCTTTCGCCCACGTGAGGGACATCGGTCGTGCGCCACTTCTCACCTGCAAGTTTTCGTTTCACAAATATGAAATAAAAGTCTTCTTTGCATTTGTTTATTAAATTATTCACGATTAACGCTCAAAGGCATTCTCGCAAAAATACGATTTAAACATTGATTTCTTCAAATCGACTCCTTTTACCATCACTTTTATTACTTCATTTACACTTCGTTTTACGTATGTATTTTCTCAAGTTTGTCACAAATGTTAGTAATATCATATGTTTAATCAATTACTAATCTTTACCGATTTCAATTTTTAACCTCGGTGCGATCACTCTCGCATAGAAATAAAGCATGCAGTATCTATGGCAAGCCAGAAAGATTAGTCAGATCTTCCTCCCGGGTGAAAGGTAAAGCGCGATTATATCCCCGGGGCCCTGTCAGTATCCTTCCCGGAGCTTTGCTCGCTTTAAGTCGCAGCAACGTGGCTAATAACAGAGCCAGTGAAGCCAAGCGGTCTTTACGACCATCTTCCCAGAAGTATAAACCCTGGACCCTCGCCACCATTCGTCCAGCTACGTCCTACCTCTCCCGGAGCATCATACGGGGCCGCGAAATTTTGCAAGGGCTAATTAATGCGAAAGGCCCCGACAACAAAGTTGCTCGCGTGATCGCTCTCTTAAGTATCGCCGCCGCCGCGGCCCAACCGTGTTGGAAAACACGAAGAAGTGATCCGAGAGAATGAAGACGAGTAAGAATAGAGGCGCCAGGATGAGTCGGAGCGGACGAAATAATGATTCTTGGCGACGATCAAGGTGAATGTTATGAATATTGTCACGAATATATATATATATGATTCTCGCATGTTCGACTTTCTTTATGCGCCCATGCAGCGGATGCAGTACGGGCCGCAAGACGAAGATGGAGCAGAAAAAGAAGTATCATGCTTCTGGCGGAAGAACTTCTTCTTCGCGTGACCACGTAATGAATGGCGGGAGATTATTCTCAAAATTGTTTTCTTATGTCGCCTCCAACTGCGCGAGAAGAAGCGTTAGCAGGTGTTCGACGAAGATAATGCTCGGAGATGAGCCGTGTATAAAGCAGGCATTTCGGACGGAGCTATCTAAAGGAAACATCTCTTTGTGATCGTTTCCCCACTAACCGATAATTTCGCACCTCATTGTTGGATAATAACCGTATAGCAACATTGTGGTATCCTTTCGATACCCACTTCCGATCAAGAGACTTTTTCACATCGCAGCGGAAGATTTCATGAAGCACGAACTTTGTGGGACATCGTGGAAGTTGGGCACTTCTTTTGGGTACATTTGCTGTGCTTCCTTTTTATGATGGTATTGAATTACTGGGTGGCATGTAGAATTTTTCTCTCT